AAAAAAAAAAAAAAAAAAAAAAAAAAACAAAAAAACAAAAAACAAAGGCACTTAACATAACAGCAGAAAAACAAGTGCATGTCTATGTCCTCATCAAGAGAATTTTTCCAGATTGCTGGTTTGTCATGGAAGGCTTTGTAAGAGCTCTCACCACTGCAGTTCTCTCTAGTAATAAATGATTCTTTTCCTTTTGCAAATGGCAGCGCAGACAGCATTTATACAGAGAGATGTGAACTTCAAGTGATGCAAATAGACAATTTGTTTTGAGTCCAGTCTGACAATTTAAGACCGCATTAACTTCCAACCCAGCTGGTGCTACATCTCTAGTTAAGAGGCGCCCTGTGAATGAATAGTATTGTTTGCTTCTATACAGATGAAAGCCACTTCAAGAATTTGAGAAGTTTAGCTGTAACGTCTAGTCATTTCTGTACGTTTAGCAAAAACAGGTCCCAGACATGCAGTTTCATTACATTTACCAACCTGTATCAGTTAAAGCATCGACTTTAATGACTCCTCCCAACTTCCTAGGAGGCAATTATGTACTTTTGAGTTGGATTTAAGAGGCTGCCTATCAGCTTTTACAGATACTGAAAAAACAACCTGAACCTAAAATCAAATTAAAGTACGACTGGAGCTCCACCAGAAACCATATGCACGTCACAACACAAACTGAGTGTTGTTGTGCAAACGTATCAGTACATAAGCCTATCACTCGCCTCCTGTGATTTTCCCTCCTGGACTCCATTGCCGTTGCTGGCACTAGAGTCACCGCTGCCATTAACTGTGGCTTCCTGTTTCGCTTGTTTAGCATCAGTGTCCTTTACTGGGCTCTCCTCCTCTGGTTTCCTCTGTGTAGAAACATAAGAGCAGGACAAGGGGGTGGAACAGGAGACTGAAGGCTTCTGTACACAACCTTTCAGGTTGACATTTACAACAGTGCAAATGAAACCGAAGTTGACATAAGCAGCCATCACCAATTACGTCACAATTTAAAATTAATCATGCACAAGTCAGCCCATAATCAAAGTTTAATTTCTTGGATTAAGCTCCACCATAATGCAGTCACCTACAAACACACGCATGCCACAACTACACTACAGGAACCAACACAAGTCACACTTCAGTCACTGCACAGGTCACACAAAAGCCACAACACATCAGCAGAAAGCCATAACGACATCCCTACAACCAAAGCAGGCAAGCACACAGACCTTACAACATAAAGTGGGAGTACATGGCCAGTTTCAATAATACAGATTATAACTCCAATATGGAGTTAGTTGTGAGGGGTTTTATTCCTCCAACAGTTACTACATGACAGATCTGAGATTCATTCTGTCCAGCAAATAGAAGTGCAGCATCATTCACTTTTTGGCCAGACTTCCATCCCTGATGTGTCAGTTTTATCTGACAGCAATCAAGATGGGGGGGGGGGGGGGGGGGACCTTATTAACAGGAACCACCGTTAAGAGATAGTAGGTCTCACCTTTTTCCTGACAAGGTGGGAGATGTCTGAGACTGCTTTGGAAGATGAAGCGCTGTCAGATGATTTAACTGGAATCTGAAATAGAAAAAAAAGTTTGGTTTGATTGCTTTTGTAGGGGGGTTACATAGGGCTTTTTAAAGACATTTTAGGTTAATGTAATGTGCATCAATCCCATTTCCTTACCTGGCTGGCTGTTGCAAATGCTGCTGATGATGATGATGATGGGCCCCCGTTTTCACATAGGAATGCTGTTGAGGTCGAGGCACCGCCCTACAAGAGGGTAGTCAGTTACCCAGAGCTAAGGTTGCAACTTTTGATGCTGTTTGTACATTTATGCCACACTCAAGTAAAACCTCCTGGTAAATTTCAAACACCATCAGCACAAACTTTGGCAAGCTAAAATAAAAAGGGTGAACTCTCATGTTGAGGAAATGGTTTAAACCTGGGATGATGAAAGTCTACCTACTAGTGTTTGCTGGATGGCCTGGGAGGCAGTGCTGGCTGTTCTCTGGCTCTCCTTGGCATCCTCCACCTTTTCCCTGATGTCTGGCAGAAGTTGCTTCAGCTCCTCCATCTCATTCTTCTCTTCTGCTGCTCCATCTGCTGCATCTATCACCTCCTGCAACATGGCTGTAAACGGACAATGGACAGGTTTAACAAGAAAAACATGATACAGAAGCGTTACCTGGATAAATGCAGTCAGTTGCCATCTTGCTAAACTTAAGAACTGAGTATCTTCCAAAGAGATGTCACACTCTTCCAACCACCTGCCACTCAACTAATTCTGAAATGAGTTAGCCCTGAAGGTTATGTGCACAAGAAGGCCACATTTCTAAAAACATTAGTGCCAAGACAAAAAAATAAATCTTACCCAGACGGGTCTCGATGACTTTTATGGAGCTGTTGTAGTGCTGGATGGCCTGGCTGTACTGGTCCATGTAGCACAGTGTGGCAGCGACATGGTAGTGGGTCTCAGCCAGGAGACGACTGTGGGGAGACAAGTGCTTCAGCTGCAGGGTAAGACATTCCTGGAAGTCTTCTAGAGCCTGGGGGTAGTTACCTGGGGGAAAGACACATTTAATTTTTTGCAAACTGTAGCATGTTGTGTTTTCATCTGTATGCAATTGTATTTTTAGCCCTACACACATTGCAGCCTCTTCACACCATTCAATGATAAGAAATCAAAGCTTCAAAAACTGTAAATCCCTTAAGGCCCCAGTCATGTGTACAAACTATTGGATTGCCCCCCCCTCACAAAGTGTTAATGTTGATGAACAAAAACAAATGTTGATTCGATTCAGTTAATCACCTCTAAGGTTCCACAAGAAGCCATGTACATGTTTTAATGCAGAGAAAACTGAGGGTAAAAGCTGGGCCCCCTTATGAAAGGTGACAGTGACAAGTCTGTCTTGATATTTGGTCTGCTGTGAGAAACATACCTGATTCAGTACTGACTTCTCCGAGTTTCAGATATGCCTGGGCTGCCATCAGCTGCTCTTCTTTGCTCTCCTTTCTGGAAGAATGATATTAACAGGCAATTTTACCTCATTGTCTCACATCCTCAAGCAGGATTAGGGCCCTTAAGTCTGGATGCAGGAACAAGTGGCCTTCTTGAATTCACATGTTCAGTATAAAGCTTTCTAATAATTTCTTACATGTTGACATACTCGATTTTGAGCCATTGTTCTTAGTTTATCATCAACTTCATCTTGTAGAGTTGTCATTACCTTTTAAAGATGACTTTAGCCACCTCCAGCATCTCCCAGGCCAACTGCAAATTTCCAACTTCCTCCTCATCCTGAAAGAGAAGGCATGTCAGAAATGAACATTTATGAATGAACACAATTATGTCAAAGACTTCCATGTATGGAAACTCACTTTATCTTGTCCATTTTTTTCTCCATCCTCCTCCTCCTCCTCATCGTCGTCATCGTCGTCGTCATCATCATCGTCATCTGTGGAAAAAACAGGAGAATAATTACAAAGAGCTAGACACTCATTTTTCTAAAGTGCATTTTCAGTAGAAACCAAATGCAAATGTGCTCAGAAAATGGAAAAAATGTGCAGTTTACACTTGCTCCAGTGCATTCCCCTTCACCTTTTGCAACACCTGTTAATGCTGACCATTCTGTATTAAGCAATACCAAACTTGTGCTACACCCATCCACACCAACAGTGCTCAGTATCTAGAGATCTACTGCCCTCTGCTTCCTCTTCGTTCTGTTCGGCCTCTGGTTTGGATTCCTCATCCTTTGGCTTCGCCTCAGTCGCCTCTCCATTCTGCTCTTTAACAATTTGTACCTTCGCTGTCACATTTTCCTTTCCAGGAGATCCAGTAGGACTTTCTCCCACACCATTCACAGGAGCACCCGGGGTCTTCTCGGCTCCATTCACTGTGGTTTCCTGGACTGAACTCTTCTCTTGCCCATTCACAGGGGAGTCCGATGTTTTCTCTGATCCATTCACGTGTTTGACTGGGCACTCTGCCACACCATTTTCTTTTTTCACCTCAGCAGGGCTCTTTGGATCTTCAGACTTCAGCTTGTTGTCAGCTGCCACAGTCTCTTCCTTCTCAGCCATTGCATCATAGACCTGCTTTCGTAGCTCATCTCTAGTTTTTTCTGCACCAGTGTCACATGAGAAAACTGAGTTTTTTCTGACATTGATATTAACTTGACAATTCAATTTGGATTCATTTTGTCAGAGGAAATTTGTATTCCGATACCATCTTACTGTATGACACTGTATTGTTGTGTGTAGGCAGTCAAGTCTTTTAGACCCCTTTTTATGAGCTGGGGTTTACACGTGACTAAAAGAGTTGTTCTAACCCAACCAGAAAAGCCACTTTTAATATAAACTGAATTAATTTAGGGAAATGTAATCAAACTTTTATACAAGTATAGTCATTTGTCTATATGAAAAACTCTTATCCCCTTAATGATAATCAGAAGAGTTTATAACACTGACCATCAAGGTTGTTGGCACTCTCAATATTTGAGTTAGGCTGCTCCTCTTCCTCCGATTCTTCTGGGACTCCCTCCAGGGCATTACCAAGTACACTGTTCTCCATTCTAACCAAAACACAAAGGGATCTATCAGGTTATCCAAAGTAAACAGAGATACTGCTTGCAGGCTAAGGCCAAAGATTTTACTCTGAACCCAATTTCAAAAAACACCACACACAAATTACCCTAAAGCAATGCATCAACCAACCTGGCAAGCTCCAGTAGGGACTTCCCACACAGGAAGAGAGCCTCTCCACACTCATCTGCAGTGTCCCCATACTTCGCCGCCCTGGCAGAGACACAACACACAAGTGTTTAGAGGAGAAGATTTTGATGAGAAGGTCAAAGTACTGTCTAATATTACATCATTTAAAAAAGTCAAAAAACACACAACAATACTGGAATGTAGTTATAAGTAAAGGTATGATATGAACTCATCTCAATGAGCATTTCAGGGTTAGTGTAAATTCCAAAGCTGGTAAACAAACTTTCACTTTCAGTGTAACCAACACACATCCAGAGTGATTGATCCTCAGAAAACAGCCAGAAAATTAGTGAACAGCTATCTTTCATTACAAATATTCATATTAACAGTGATCGTTTTTTTCCGCCATGTAAATTAGTGACAGCTCTCTTCCCTCAAATACTTACAGCATGCTGCAGGCTTCCTGGAAAACACCAACAGCAGAGACAATGTCTCCCATCACTAGATGTCTGTTCCCCGTGCCAATCAGTTTCTTTGCCTCCTCCATGACGTCCACAGAGCTGCAAGGAAAGGAAAAAAAATAAATAAATAAAATAAAGTACATATGATTGTAACTTTTTTGTAGAAAAGAACTAAATCACTAATTTTTTCCTAGTGTAATTTTAAGGCCAGATTCTACTTTTCAACACAGCTTCAAACTTTGCTAAAGATGTCACTATATTTTGAATGCAAATCTGTTCTTCCTTTAATAAGAGCTGATCGTAATAGCCATTTATAATTGATAGTGCTGTGATGAAATGGAAGTTTATTTTGATGAAAGAAAATCCTTTGGGTGGTGGGGACACACGCACGCCAAGTGTTGCCTAACAATGTGAACAAATGCAGCGGAGTTTGCTGGGGGGGGGTGTACACACCTGTCTGCAGCAGCTGATGATGATGATGAGCACGGCTTCTCCTCCACACTGCAAAAGTTCAAACTTGAGTTTAGTCAACGCCAAAACAAGTCATCTGACCAGATCCTCAAGCGCAGCCAGAGTCGACACTCCGAAGTTTTACCGTTGGCTCTCTGAGTTTACGTCCGGAGATGTTAGCTGTATTGTTGTTAGCGCCGTATGGTGGTTAGCCAACTAGCTGAGCTGACTGGTGTTCTTTAACAGCGTAGGCAGCCACCGTAAGAAGCTGTTAACCATGCTGTTACTTTAATAGTCGCCATCACTGACTGCACGTTTGTATAATCCGTATATCTTCCAACCAATACTAAACACAGTAGGTCGCACACGTTAGCTTAAAGGCTAAATGCTAGCTAGCTGTGTTTTCCCAGCGTACGTTATAGTGACTGCAGAGAGAAATTACAAGCGACTCTTACCTCCCAGAGCTGGACGCGGTGGACGTTTCCTCTGGCATCTTTTCAGGACGATAGGAGAGACGGTGGAGAGAGGAAAACAGGCGGTGTTGTGCGTCTGTGAATGAAGTACAGATAGACCTCCTGTAAGAGTCTTTGTTGGCGCGCTTAAATAGAGAAAAGAAGGGTTTCTATTTCCGCCTAACTTGGAACGCGGGAGATTGAGTTTAAAGGGGCCGCAGCACGTATCATGATGTGTTCAACGCCCGTGGGAAAAGTACATGTCCTTTAAACGTTACATACCAGTATTGTTTCAAAAGAAACAAAAACAGTCTGCGGGCATTATATACTGGTCGGTTCACAAAACTCAACACCACACTGTGACGGGGTTTAATAGCTTTTTGATGGTTAAAAACCTGTAGATACAATAGGACGCAGGCCTACACTTCTGTTAATCTTTGGCAGTGTTTCACAGCTGTAATTAATTAACCTGACCTGGACCCAGATAAATAAAATGGAGAAGGGTGAATGGATGGTCGGATGGTTGGATAAACCATCTAAAAAATATATAATAATAACAATAATATATAAGTAATGTAAGTTAAAAAAAAATTAAAAGTAAAAAAATAATTGGTCGCTTGGTGAGTGTATATTGAATTTTGTATTATTATTTTTTCAATCAGGAGCTGTTAATGACTGCTTTGACACAGAGTGACCAGCAGGTGGCAACAATCCTCCAATTTTAAACTGTTTTCCACTGATTCCGCTTCACTGGTAACAATCAGTCAAGTTTAATGGACCCAATTTGCAGGAGCAGCTGTTTTAAAATGAAAGATAGGCTTTGCAAAATAAATAAATAAAAGTACGACCCCATAACTTAGTGAAATGTGAGTGAATTGTTCTTATTCCTTATGATTGTTATGACAGACATGCTTTTATTGTGATGTCTGTTTCTTGACTGTAAAAAGTTTTTGTGACCATTGCGATAACTGCTCCACAGCCACAGCCACAGCCACAGCCACACGTTCTCAAACTAAAGAGTATTTAGAAGAGCTGTGAGCGCACATGTCAATTAAGTAATTGAGCTGGAGTGAGTGAGGGAGTGAGGGGGAGGAGGGCGCTCAGTCTGACTGTGGGCTCCAGACGGACTCACAGGCTGCAGATGAAGTTTTCAGTCGCACTGCGCCGGACGGGACTCTCTGGGATTCATATTAAACATCCAGACTCTCTATCTTCTGACTGAGATGTTGCGATGTTCCGTGCAGCCTTACAAAACGTGGACTTGTTTTGGTTGATTTTGCTGTATTTTGTTTTCCTACCGGGGACCGGCTGTAGATCAGCCGATGCAGACAGCTGTCATGAGGTGAAGACAGCCTACATGATGCGCCAAATAGGCCCGGTGGAACTGGTGCCAGACACACCGGGAACAGGTCAGTCAATCCCTTTGGAAATATAATAGCATAGATTTTTATAAAAGTTGTTAAAAAAAAAAAAAAAAGAAACCTGGTATACACAGAGGCGGGATGTCACTAAGTACATTTACTGAAGCTCTGTACTTGGATATCACTCTGAGGCAAACTTTCAATCCCACCATGTTTCTAAGTAAAATAGGAACTTTTTACTCCACTCTATTTATTTGCAAGCAATTAACTTCTTAATTTGCAGGTGGAGATTTTAAAATCAAAACACATGATGACTTTATAAATTACAATGCAAGTAATAAATAAAACCAATGAGCAATTTATTCAAATGAGCTCCACCTTGACCAACCCCACATCAAATTGTTGTGTGCATATCAATGTAGCCTATAGGTAACAATGATCCAATATGTAATTTATCCTTATATAACAGCAGTAGGGACATTCTTCTGCATGCGCTAATGACGTCTTCATTTATGATTAAGTACATTTTGCTGATAATACTTATGTACTTTTATTAATGTAAATATAGTACTTATAATTGAGTATTTTTGCAAAGTATTCCTTACTCAGGCAAACGGAATCATATTCGTCATTCACTGCTGGAAATACACATGGCCACTACTAACCACAGTAGTATTAAAGTTAATATCGCTCCTGCATTGAAATCAATGATACTTATAAAACATTTTGATTGAAACATGTGATTGTGACTTGTGGCCCACACAGGGTTTAGACCCATAGCTTTAAAAATGCAAGCTCAAATTCCAAATATTAGAGATCATCACTGTGCTGCATGAGCCAACACCTAATGGAGAGAGGCTATTTCTGTTGAAAACTAACCTAAATAGTGTGGAACACATATATAGATCTCCTAAAAGCACGCTTGGCTATAAGTGGCGGTGTTAAGATGCTGTTTTCTAAATGCGAATGCCCATTTTAGATTTTCCTTTGGCTTAAGCGAGTCTCTTTGCACATTATTACTGACCTGCAGACTGCTGCAAGTGTGCAACCATTTCTTAATTGCTGAGTTCATGGAAGATCGTCCTTTTCAGCAAAATGGCACCCAAAAACAAAACACAGAAAGGTGGTTCTTGTCAAGGTGCAGATCATATTCACATTATATAACCAGCGGACATAAGGTAGTCTCTGCTGGACCTCAGTAGATGAAACCCATGCAGCTGCAAGAGAGGGAAAAGACACTGTTAGATTCATTTAACTGAAGGTAACCAAATAAGGCATTGTAATATTTCTATGATGTCACTGTTATTACTGCGCTGACTGGCAGTGCGCCTTGTGCTTGTGATTGTTAACAGCTAGTTAACAATATAGTGTGGTGACCTTAGCAGTCTTTGGCAGAATTGTCTGCTAATTATAGATAATTACGACAGCAGAGTCTTTGCACCAACTCTGCTCAACATCTCTGAGTCTTTTCGTCTGGCGTTCATTGATCTGCTGTGGGCCATGGATGAATTAGCCTGAGAAAGATTTCATTTAAAGTAGGTTTTCCACAAGTGACTGACTGTTTTCTTCTTGACTAAGACAAGGACACAAACACTTGCACCTGACTGGACATTTTCTTCTGTGATTTTAACAAACAAACAGAAAAAATTTGTTCAGGAAATGCTGTAAAATTTCTATAAAACTATCAATGGAAATTGCCTATGGATAGTTGAGCTTGAAGTTTCATCAGAGTGTGAAAATAGCAGTTTCAATTCTTTTTTCAGACTTTAATCTTGTAGGAAAAAACTGAGTTTACGACTTGTAGTCTGACTGTAGTCAGGCCCCCAACCAACCTGCTGTGCTAACTGCAAATGAGGAATGCACCATACAATTACCAATAAATAGTAGTTATCTCAGTAATGTATTCCATGGTCAGCCAAAGCTAATATGAATAGCTCAAAGTCTGACACAGATCTGTGTGTGTGTGTGTGTGTGTGTGTGTGTGTGTGTGTGTGTCTGTGTCTGTGTCTGTGTGTTTGTGTTTGTGTGTGTGTGTGTGTGTGTGTGTGTGTGTGTGTGTGTGTGTGTGTGTGTGTGTGTGTGTGCGTGTGTGTGCGTGTGTGTGTNGTGTGTGTGTGTGTGTGTGTGTGTGTGTGTGTGTCTGTGTCTGTGTCTGTGTGTTTGTGTTTGTGTGTGTGTGTGTGTGTGTGCGTATGTGTGTGTGTGTGTGTGTGTGTGTGTGTGTGTGCGCGTGCGTGCATGCGTGTGTGTGTGTGTGTGTGTCAGGTCAGACATAGGTGAACGGTCCATTTCTCTCATCTCTCTCTCTTTGCCTTGATCTCAGTCAGCTGCTTGACAGCTTGGCTTTCAGCAGTCCACCAAAGTCAGACCATTACACACACACACACACACACACACACACACACACACACACACACACACACACACACACACACACACACTCCTGTGTGAGTGGTGAAGTGTTGCCTACTGTGCATGTCATCATGTCAGGTCCCAACAGGCTCATTGTAAAATTATTTTTGTGTGTGTTGTCATAAAGCCTTGTGCATGAAATGCTTTTAGGTCCCTAAATGGATTAACTAACTTAACAGATTAAAAAGAAGGAGTCTTGTTGGTGAGTTATTTAGTGACAATATGCAGGAAAAATTATTTCCATGAAGCTTAAAACAACTTGTAGGAAACAAATCTCTAGCTCTGAGTGTCTATTGGTGGAATTCATCCTGGACCTCTAGAATATCAGTTTAATATTTATCAGAGTTAAGGTCAAAGTAAAGGTTAATAAAAACCTGCAGACTCCATGAAATGTCTGTGTCTTTCAGATGAGGCTCTCCGAGTGTGTGTCCACCCTGGGCCCACTTGCTGTACGAGTAAGATGGAGGACAGCTACATGGCGGCTGTTCGCAGTGAGAC